GGGCTGCTGCTGCAGTGGCGGCTGCTCCAGGGGCGAGAGGCGGATTAGGTCAGGGCGACGCGGCGAGAAGGGCGACGCGGCGGGCAGGTGGCGACGCCGCGGGCAGGGCGACGCGGCGGGTAGGTGGCGACGCCGCGAGCAGGGCGACGCGGCGGGCAGGTGGCGACGCCGCGGGCAGGTCGACGCGGCGGGCAGGTGGCGACGCCGCGGGCAGGGCGACGCGGCGGGCAGGTGGCGACGCCGCGGGCAGGTCGACGCGACGAGCAGGGGACGACGCCGCGGGCAGGCGACGACGCCGCGGGCAGGTGACGACGCCGAGGGCAGGCGACGACGCCGCGAGCAGGCGACGACGCCGCGGGCAGGCGACGACGTCGCGGGCAGGCGACGACGCCGCGGGCAGGCGACGACGCCGCGGGCTGGCGACGACGCCGCGGAAAGCGGGCCGCGCGCGGGTGGCTAGCAGGCCGTGCGTGCGCGGTAGGGAGAGGCGCACGAGGGCGCAAGAGCGCACGAGGGCGCGCGGTAGGGAGAGGCGCACGAGGGCGCGAGGGCGCACGAGGGCGCGCGGTAGTAAGAGGCGCACGAGGGCGCGAGGGCGCACGAGGGCGCGCGGTAGTAAGAGGCGCACGAGGGCGCGAGGGCGCACGGTAGTAAGAGGCGCACGAGGGCGCGAGGGCGCACGAGGGCGCACGGTAGGTAGGTAGGTAGGTAGCGGTGGGCCCTAAAACGGTCCTAGTGAAGGACCTGCTCTGATACCATGTCAGAATGAACGGACAGGAATGATTGAACTAACAGTGAAATCAGTACAAGTACCTAACCCTAGAATTGTGTACCCCCTATAGGCTAACCCACTGTAGCCTAAACAAACACAACATATATAATGTTTGACATTGATTACTGGAAAGTGTTTTCTTAGTGACAAAAGGAAACCCTCGAGGTGGTTGGACGAGAATGAAGTGGAACTGCAAGTTCCGAAATGAAGTCGTGGGTGGAGGCCGAATGGCCTCCAACCCTCGTTATATACTCGGCGAATTGCAATTCGCCGTTGCTTTGCTTCGTTACAGGCAGCTGCGCTTTCACAATACGCATTTTTAGAAAGTGTTACACACTTTCGAAAAAAAAAAATCATTTTTAGTAAGGGTATGAATGGCAAGTTGAAGCATTATAAAGCATACTTCAGAGGCACTTCACAATATTTAACGGCACATTACAGGGTGCTGCGCATACAATACCGTATCGCCCCGGATAGTAGCGCATATGCGCTTATAATAAAATCGATTTTTTTAGGGGGGGCGCTTGTAAATGAGGATTGGGCATAAGCGCATGCGCGTATAATACAGTGAAAAATGAAATTTGTTTTTAAGGTAACCAAATCGAAGCCCTTTCAAAGGGGAACACGACCATGAAACGTTCACGCGTGTTCATGCACGAAATGCAGACGAAAACACCTGCGACTCGAGTTCCCACCGCACAAAACCCGTCCCCCAGCAATGCGTCTGCCAACGCTGACTGGGAAACTGCCGTGCGGCCCAATCAGGAGCCAATTCGATGCCAGACAGGAGCATCGCGATCGATCCCTCTAGAAGGGGGTCGAATATGCCCTGCCAGCTATGCATGTGACGGGCCGCGGACCCTCCTCTGCGGGTTTAGGCAGGGGGGTTCCTGTCTTTCATTGACGAGGCTCCCGAGCCGCAAGGCTGAAGGGGTCCCTTCAGAACTTCATTCTTGTTCCCAATCTTGCACTTTCATCGTTCAGTTCCTCACGTTTTGCCCGCCAGGCTGCGAAAGCCATGGCGGAATTTACCGGCACGCACTTTCTATTCAAGAAAAAGCCTAAGCAAGCATGGCGAGTTGACGCTGACGGCTGGTACAGCCGTGTCCCACCAGAGCCTCCTGAGCCACCACAACCTCCCGCGCCACCTGCGCCGCCATCTCCTCCAGCGCCTCCTGTGCCACCATCTCTTCCAGCGCCTCCTGTTCCTCCCAGTCCGCCCGTGTGTGCAGGCCCATCACATCCTCCCGTGCTCACGCTCCTGCACCCGTCGGCGTTCGACGAGTACCTGTCGAAGCCTGACAGCAACAAGCCTCCCGACGTCTACGTATGCGCTCTGCCCCCGGCACCATGATGGGGCCAGCCGCAAGATTGCGCGTGGGACGAATCTGCTGTGGGCGCTGACGACGACGAGGCCGACACCGAGGCTGGCACCGCGGCTGGCACCGACACTGGCGCTGAGGACGGCACCGCGGCAGATGTGTTTCCCGAGGGTGTCCCGGGCGGCGACGAGGATGACGGTGTGGAGTACTGGTCGCGCGACGGCCTTCCCGAGAAACTTCCTATTCCAACGTTTCCGCCTGTTAACCGCAAGCGTCCCCACCCCTCTTCTGAGAACCGTGATGCCCGCCCCCCCTCTCCCAGGCACAAGCCCTCGCAGCATAAGCGAAACTCGTATACCGCGCAGGAGAAGCTGCAGTGGGTTGGCCGCATGGATGTTTCGGTGTCACTGCGCGCGCTGTCTCGCTAGTCGGGAATCCACCGCAAGTGTCTCGCTGAGTGGAAGAGAGCCGCCGCCATGCTCAAGGAAGCGCACTCTGCACGGAAGCGGATGCACGGGCGCGGGAGGGCATCGTGGTACAGGCCGATGGAGCTGAAAGTCTACGCAAAGCTCCTCGAGTGGCGCCGCAAAGGTACTGCCGTCTCCGTCGGTCGGCTGCAGGAGTGGTCAAGGGAGTTCATGAAGCTCCTTTTCCCCGACGTGAAGTGGAAGGGGAGCCAACGGTGGTCCGAGCGGTTTCGGAAACGGTGGAATCTGAGCGTGCGCATGAAGACGAAGATTGCCCAGAAAACCGCGGAACGTAAGATGCCATGCCATTTGGTTTTGATGTGCATCGTGCTTGTTTTTATGTTAACCTCCGGTTGTGACTAACTTTTGCGTTTTTTACACTGTACCTGTGTGAGCAGATGTCGCGGAGCTGTGCCGGAACTTCTGGCAATTCGTGCGTGACATGCGGCGTGAGCGCGGCATCGACAACCGCTGGATTATCAACGCCGACCAGACGCCGCTGTGGCTGGAGATGCCCGCCACCAGTACTGTGGAAGAGACAAGCGTTCGATTGGTGCCGATAAGGAGCGGGGGGTACCAGAAGGAACGCGTGACCGTGATGCTGGCGTGCACGGCCGAGGCGAGAAGCTCAAGCCGTGGGTCTTTTTCAAGCGCAAGATGGTGCCGAAGGGAGATTTCCCGCCAGGTATTGTTACACCCCTCTTGTTCAATGGTTTGTTTACCGTGTCGCTGGTTGTTGATAACATTTGCTTGTTTATTGTGGTTTGCCAGATGTGGTCGTGGCGTATCACCCGAACGGATGGATGGACGCCGAAGGCGTCCTGCGCTGGCTCGACGAGTGCATCAAGCCCTTCATCAGGCCCCGGTTCGGCAGGCAGGCGAGGAGCGCCATGGTGGTTCTAGACTCCTACCGCGGGCATCTCATGGACTCTGTGAGGGAGAAGTTCACCGAGCTTGGCGTCGTGCCCGCCGTGATCCCGTCGGGCTGTACGGCGGAGGTACAGCCGCTCGACGTCTCAATCAACAAATCCTTCAAAGCCTCCATCCGCCAGCAGTACCAGAGCTGGTTTGAAGAGGAAGGCCAGGAGCGGCTGACGCCTGCGGGTAAGAGTTCCATCTGTGATTGTTTGAGCGCAACGTGAATACCCCCCCTTAGCTCTAACTCCCATGCTGTTACCGTTCTTGTGGTGCAGGGAACATCAAGAAGCCCCCTCTAGCAGTGGTACTCAGGTGGATCTCACGAGCCTGGAAGGCCGTGCCAGCGGAGCTTATCAAGAAGGCGTTCCTCACCTGTGGCATCAGCAACGCGCTTGACGGCAGTGAGGACAACCTTGCCATGGCGCACAGGCGGAGCCAGCTGACCCACGAGGTCGACGTCGATGACGAGATCATCGCCAACGGCTTCTTCGGCAACAACTGCGAGGAGCCTGAGTCAGACGACGAGTAGATTCTAGGAAGCAATGTGCTGGTGAAACATCATAATGCTGATTGAGATGAATGGTTTAGAAGCATGTGTAGAATTTTTGTTAGGAAAAAATGTTTCGATTAACAAATAGTGAAATGAATATCCCTTAGGGGGAGGGATGCGCTTATAAAAAGTACTGAGTTTTTAGGGGGTGCGCTTATAAATGAGGACCGGCCATAAGCGCATGGCTCCAGATAGAAGCGCCGGCGCCTTTAATCAGGCGGCGCTACTATCCGGGGCGATACGGTACATACCCAACAGAAGGCCTTTAATCCTTGGCAGAACATACCATCACTACCCCAGGTGGAAATGGAATGCAATTTAACTCATTACAAGGCTAATAAAACTTAAGGACTATTTTTTTCTTTTCCTGAAACCTACCGTATCACAAGAGATCAGTTTGTGGATGGGAGATGTTTGGAACAGTGTTTTCATCAGCCCAGCGTCGTTCTCATTTTGCTTCGCCGGAACACGTATTCAAGTTGGAGCTGCCTTCACTTCTCTATTTTAGACTCTCGTTTTAATATATTCCTCCACAAATGAACTCAACGGACTTCAGTTACAAATTCCGAGCATCGATTATCATCATTGATCCTGTTGTTCCCGCTGCTCCCGCTGATGCTGCGCCTGCTGCTGCTGCTCTGGCTGCAGCTGCTGCTGCCCCTCCATCTGCCCCTCACCTCCAACACCCCCAGCCCCCCACCTCCTCCGTACAAGCCACACCAGGCATCGGCCCATGAGAAAAACTCCAGAGAACCACAGGCAGAACGACTCAGACAGGAGAGACTCAGGCCGAATAGCCCACGCGTACGGGCACACAACCCCCCTCCTCCCCGCCCCTCTTGCACCTTTCCCTCCCTGGGCTCCACCGAATTCCTCCCCCTGCTGCCACCACTGCTGCTGCTTGAGGTGCCTGGATTGCCTCCTGGAATCTTCCAAAGCAGCCATGTATGGACACATGTGGAAACCGGATGCTACTCCATGCAGGAATGGCTTGGTGTCTTCACCTGCTGTGTCTGCCTCATCCATTGCTCCGCCTCCCACTTCTGTGTGTATGCTTGTGCCCGTGCTGGCGCCAGCTTGCGATGAGTCAGCAGCAGCTCGTGATGAGTCAGCAGCAGCTTGTGAGGAGTCAGCGGCAGGGGAAGGTGAGCTGGATCCAGCGCGCTTGGAGCCCCAGGTGATGGCGGAAGCAGGTTGATCCCAGCCGAACCATAGGCTGAGAGGAGAGGAGTCAGTGGAGAAGGGGTTGGGGGAGGGCTGCAGGGGAGAGAAAGGGGAGCTCGTGGGACCTGGATGGAGGAGGGAGGAGGGAGGAGGGAGGGAAAAGTAGGGGAGAAAGGAGTACAGTGAAAATAGGGGAGGAGTGTGGATGATGAAGTTTAGGTGCTGACTTATCCTCAGGTGAATGTAAACAGGATATGGAGAAGAGTAGAGAGAGAATGGTGCATGGTTGCAAGGAGGATTCAGAACAAGCAATAGGCACGAAGGCACTGAAGTCGTAAATGTATTGCAGAGAGCAGAAGTGGAGTCATTGTTGAGAGGGCTTGCACATTAGCGTGCTTAGGAAGTAAATCTACTTACACCCACTGCCCTCACACCCACTGCCCTCACACCCACTACCCTCACACCCACTGCCCTTACAGCGAGTAAACGCTGAGATGTACTCGGAGAGATGTGCAGCAGTGCGCGGGCCTCGGTAGCGAATCCGAGTGGTGGAGTTTTGCAGGAATAGCGCTGGCACACTGTACACACCCATGCGGGATAGAACGCTGCAGGAGAATCGTGTGGAGCGGGCGGCAGGATGGGATATGGTAGCAGAAAAAGGCGAGAAGAAAAAGTTGAAGGACATGGAGAAGGCAGGTTGGACTGGGAGGGGGGGGGAGGCAGGAAGAGGAGCAGGAGAGCAGCAGACTGCTTGAAGCAACCTTGAGAGCTGAGAAACCACCTCCTGCAAGAAACAATGAACCTCTTGCATCACACAGAGCTCGTTGCATTCCAGCCTTTTATCCACCTTCCCCAGAGGAACTTGGGTCAGCATCAGCAACTTCGGTCGTAGGTGTGTCACCTCACCTGGGTCGGAGCTCCTTTTTGTCGATGGCCACGTGCAGTATGTGGGGAAAGAGCGGCGCCGTGGTTGAGAGGAGCGCGCGTAGCTGTGAGGAGAATGGGCACCAGTCTGTGTATACCAACACACACGCTGCGCGGCACACTGCAGAAGCACGGCGGCCTACACTGCTCCTGCTGCTGCTGGTAACAGTGTTACCCCCGCTGTCGCATTTTCCTTGGTGGCCGGTTTGACCAGGGCAGGTGTGGGTTAGGTCAGAAGGGGTTTGTTTAGATTCAGAGGCGGAGCGGGTGGATGTGGGGGGAGAGGGGGACGTGTGAGAATGGGGGAAGGGAAGTGACGGGGAAGGGGTGGTGGAGTGGAAGGAGGATGAGGGGGTAGAGGAGGGAGTGGAGGAGGGAGATGCGGAAGGAGAAGTGAGTGCTGTGGGGTTGGATGCGGTGAGAAGCTCGAAGAGGCGGTTGAGAGTGGTGGCGTTGACCTGAAGGGGTGGGAGGTTAGGAGAGAAATGCGAGGACGGGAGGAGAAGGATGGAAGGAGAGGAGAGGGACAGAGGAGAGAGGGTAATATTTAAGCAAGGAAAAGAAGATTGGAGATGATGTGCAGGCACGAAAGTGGTAAGAGTGAACACAACGCGGTTGAGAGTGGTGAATGAGGAAAAACCTCCAAGGGCTAAGTACTGGTGACGTGTCAACTCACCTCTATAATAGGATCATCATCGTCTGCCTCTCGTCTCAACTGCGTTTCAAACGCGTCCCAATCTGACACGGCCGGGACTTGAGATGACACGAGTTCTGATTGAGATGAAACTGTTTCCGGCTGAAACGAAACGGGCTCGGATCGGAATGACACGGCTTCAGGTACGATACGAACTTCGTCATCATGACCTTCTGGAATCGGGTCAGGAGATCCTATTGCCACGTCAGACAGGGAGATAGCAGCGGGGAACGCGTCGAAAATGCACAACACTGACAGCAAAACGATAAGGTTTCGAAATTTATCGCGACGTGGTCGTAATCTACCAATGGCTTCTAAATCCGAGCGAGAAGCGTTTCGTAGACTCCAGATAACGAGCATTTTGCGGGCGCGTGCCTTTTTCCGAGCTCTGCGCCACGGAAGGACAAGTTGAAAGAATTCGTGAAGTGGGAGGAATCGATCGTGTCGCGGAACTTTGCCAGCTATGGTTCCCAGAATCTGACTGCTACTGACGCATCGGGTTTCTCTACCACACACAAGGCTGGGATCTGCTCAGGGGGCGTCAGATGGCAGATTTCTCACATGTTGACAGTTCTTGTATTGTGGCTCAGGACGGTTTTTTACGGTGGAAAGCGGTTCTGCACCGTGACGAAACGACGGTGACTGCAGTGAGCGTACAGAAGCTGTGAAACCTGACGTCACCATAAAATAACGTTAGGAAAACACTGGTATATAAAGTTGGCTATTGATATAAATATATGAAGGTACAGTTAGAGGCTCATTTTTTGGCAAACTCTATTGGTATGCTCCACTAATATACTTTGAATCTTTTCTTACATACATATGTAAGGATTGGGTAATTTATGTACGTCGCACCAGACCTCAGCGCATACAACACTATGTCGTACTATGCACAGTGCATCAACTGTTTAGCTTCGATGTTTACTACATCTCACGCTACCGTATATTTAGCCAACCCTTGCATCACTATATAAGGCCGAGTGCCTATGCTAAAGCCCGAGTCTCTCTAGTATATATCTTGCAAAACCATCCATTCCGTTTTTGCGTTTCAACCCCACATTCGCATGAGCTAGTTTTATATTAGTGAGAATGTAATGACATGTTTCTATGAAACTTGTCCAATCACCTTAGCCAGCAGAACCACCCTGCAACTCGTCCCTCTGCCCCTCCTCTCTCATCTTCCGTCCCCTTCACTAAGTTTCCCTCCTGCCATGTAACATGCGCCAAGAGCAGTGACTAAGGGTACATTCCGCTGTGGACATGTCCCAATCGTACATGTCCCAATCGGGTGTACCGCTCCGAACCGAACTAAACCAGAGAAGCGAAATTTTTTAAACTAGGGTGTAATTCGGTGTAATAAGATGCAGTGCGGTAGAATCGATTGGGACACATCGATTGGGACGCTGTCCACAGCGGAATGTACCCTAATCATGAACCAAAACAAAGAAAGCAAGTTGCAACATGTGCCCCACGTTCTAAACTGTAAAAACCGTTAGAGCGTTCAAGCCGCATACCGCACTTTTGTCAGAATCCCAGCCACTAACCACTGGGATAAAAGGGCTTATTTGTGTAGCGGGTGAGTGCGCCCATAACCCCCAAGGCCGCCGTGCCTGTAACCCTTCCCTAGGATCAATCGGGGATCACCAGTGGACCTCTGACACCCCCCCGCACTGGGATGCCCGAGGTGCACACACCGGGATTCGAACCCGAGACCTTCGCTCTGATACCATGTCAGAATCCCAGCCACTAACCACTGGGATAAAAGGGCTTATTTGTGTAGCGGGTGAGTGCGCCCATAACCCCCCAGGCCGCCGTGCCTGTAACCCTTCCCTATGATCAATCGGGGATCACCAGTGGACCTCTGACAACTTTCTCGGCAGTCAAAATCATCACTGCGTTGCGTCGCTCGAATAAGCACTGCTAGTCTGCATTCCTTTAATCCGAGCTAGCTCAACATTGAAGTCAGCATCTTCTGAGCCTCCAAGCTCCTGGTCAATTCGCACTGCCATCCTGTCAACCCTCGCCCCAAGATACTCGTCCTTAATAGCCAGCAATTCTCCAAGGATTCGAGTCATAGATGGTCGGGATGCAGTAGGCATGGTGGTGCAGCTGAGGGCAAGGCGAGCAAGGCGAAGCACCATGGTATCTGGTGCTTCCAAGTATGGATCCTTGAAGGTTGCTACATCCTTAGCCGCCACCAAAGGTTCCACCTGTTGATTAATGGGGAATTGCACGAAATGTATCGCACTCCAACGCAAAATGTGTGAGTGGGAAAAGAGGCAGTAAGCAGCAATATGGAGCACTAATCACTTACCCAGGACTTGAGGTTGACCAGGTTTGACTCCAAGTTCCAGAGAGCTTTGCGTGCTGTGAGAATGGTCAGCATCACTACTCCAAAGCTGGCAGTGGGTAGCAAGAAGGAAGATGACAAGGATAAGAGAGTTAGGAGGAGCGAGGGGCCAGAGTAATGTGAACACGAATGGAATCCGTCATGGATCATGGAGGAACGAATAGCCATTATGAAATCACTGGACACTGTTTATAAATGTGTGTACGGTATAGCGGGTGCACCTGCTTAGACTACGACAATAATTTTGATTGCATAAAACTCACACACCTGTGCACATCAGCCATGGGAGTGGCTTTTTGTGACTTGTAGTAGGCGGGATCCACATAGCCCGGTGTTCCCATCACTCGAGTGGCCGCCACAGATGTGCCCTCTCCATGCCTCTCCATGCAGGGCCAAAGTCCGCAATCTTGGCCTGCCCGGCATAAATTGAATACATGATGGACGTGTATGAAGGCAGTATGTATCATGCAAAAATGCAATAGTTATGTTGTCCATGGGCTTAAAGCGTGTCACACTGAGTCCTGTACTAACTCACCTTCATTTTCTCATCAAGGAGGATGTTGGCGGGTTTGATGTCGCGATGCACGATGCCAAACTCATGGAGATACTCCAAGCCACGAGCCATGCCTATGAGAATCTCCAGCCCCTGCTGGATCGACAGATGCTGCTTTGCGGCTGAGGAGGCAACGGGTAAGGGGGAAAGGCAAGCCAGGGAAGAATGAGAGATGAATTGCCCGAAAGAAAACGTTGACGGCAAGAGAGAAAGTGCGAATAATGAGAGGGGAGCTGCTCACAAGGGCCGATCCACTGTTCGAGGTCGCCATTAGCCATGAACTCGTAGATGACAATCTGCTCTATCCTCTCTGTCACAGGGCTGAAGTCCAAGCAGTACCCCACCAGCCTCACCAGGTTCGGATGGTTCTTTGTCGCCATCTCGTTCACCTGCCATGTTGAACTGGGCATGTAACGAAAAATGCAACAACGTGGCAAACATAACAAAATGCAGCGCTATACGCTCAATGTTATCACTGGTGACATGGCGCAGATCTGCCAGACACGGCCTTGAACGGATATGGTATTTTGCAGTAAACGATTATGATGGCTCGTGCAGAACGATGCCAACGATATTGAAATTTCTAACGTATATAAGCTCGTCTCATTAGTGAAGTCATTGCCAACGGTATATAAGGTCTTCGCTTGAAGTCATTGGTGAGGATCTTGGCTCGCTTGACGGCCATGGGTCTAGCCCATCCTAAACCAGCGCAGTCAAACGCTTCATGCCCCACACTACGGCACACCACACACCACCACGCACCAAGCCACACCACATCATATACACCCATACCTCTCGCTTAAAGTCGTTGGTGAGGACCTTGGCTCGCTTGACTGCCCACACGACCTGCGGGTTGTGGGGGCACTCACCCTTATACACATCCCCGAGTCCTCCCCCAATGCGCTTGCTCTCCGCCCACTCGCTCGTCGCCTGCGCCACCTCCGCCAGTGAGTACTGCACGCACACCTGCGCCTGCCCGTCTCCCCCAACTCCCCCCGCCATTCCCCCAAAGGAAGTTGCAACTCCGGCTGATACTACTTCCCCCTGGAGTGGAGGCTTGGCTGGTCGCAAGTCTAGCTCGGCATTCCTCGGTTCATTTGGCTGCTGCTGTTTTCTTGCCGCAGCAGCAGCGGCGGCAGCAGCAGCGGCAGCAGCGGCAGAGGCAGCGGTTGATGCTGTTGGTCCTGTGGCCTCTGCTCGCTGCGGCAGGGGATGGCTGGTTGCTCCGCGTGCGGCTTGCTCCTTTGTGTGACTGGTTCCTCGAGACAAAGGGTCCGTCTCAGAAACCGTGGTTTTCACTGCGGAGCTTTGCTCTTTGGTCGTCTTAGTAATCCGCGAGTGAATGTACTAGGCCAGAAAGAACAGCCCGATGAACACGAATGGAGCGGCAATTGCGAGGACTACGACCATCCACGTGGGGACAAAAATTTCATCAGCGAGTGACCGCCTTGAGATGACGTGGTTTTCTGCAAAAGCATCGAATTTGACTGCGTTTAGGTTGGTTCAAATGCACGATTGGCCATCTGTCACGTTCGCTTGAGCATTTGTTAAAGCATTCAAACCCTAATTTCAAAAACCGTGAGCGGAAAACTATAGTATCAGTTAAATATTAAAGCTGCTTGAAAGGAAGACGAACCTGGGACTCGGACGGCATCGCCACTATCATCGTTCGCGAAACGGGATGGTTCCTGGCTCCATAACATGATGGTGTCTCGGGGGTCTTGCATTATTTCAGGTGCAAACCGCCGTCCATGGGAGTCGCGAATCAGTAGCATAAAAACGATGAGACTAGGAATAGCGGCTCGCATGATATCTAACTTTGTGGCCATTGTCATGAGTCAAACGCTCAATTTAACCGTCCCCGACAGCTTGCTACTCTTCTGCAGGAATAATCCACAACATACGGCTCAGCAAGGGTGAAGAGTTCCTACAAGCGCACCAATTTCTCAAGCTTCAACAGGGAATTTCGAAAAAAAAACATGGCGGGTGGGATTGCTTTGTCGCGCAGGGGAGTGCGTGGGGAGGGGAGGGGAGGGTGGGTTTTACCGGTGAGATTCTTGCAATGTTGGGAGACGCGAATCGAGTCGCGCCAGCAGGCATTGGAAAGGTAACAACAGGCAAAGGTAACAAATTGACCACCTCCGAATGACCGATAACGACTTCCAACGACATGCACGTGGCAAACCAATTCCATCGTGTTGGAGGCTCTGATGGCGGGACCGCTATACGATATAGAGAGGAAACCTTGCTGGTTTTTCTTCCGCCGGATTTACGTATATTCACTGTTCATTACAACACTGCTCTCTAGCAAAGAAACATTAGATCACTATACAAGGCAACTCGAGCCTCTTTACTAGTGGTGCATAGCCTAGCTATCTTTTCATTCAAGTGCATTTATGTGCTCCACGATCCTGAATCTCTAACTGTCAGATCGTCACAGGCACAACCTGTAATTCCCTGCTATTCCGATCATCATTGCGTTGCATCACTCGAATATGCACTGCTGGTCCGCATTCCCTCGATCCGTGCAAGCTCCACATTGAAGTCAGCATCTGTCGATCCTCCAAGCTCCTGATCAATCCGCACTGCCATCCTGTCAACCCTCGCGCCCAAATACTCGTCCTTAATAACCAGCAATTCTCCGAGGATGCGACTCATGGACGGTCGGGATGCAGTAGGCATGGTGGTGCAGCTGAGGGCAAGGCGAGCCAAGCGCAGCACCATGGTATCTGGTGCTTCCAGGTACGGATCCTTGAAGCTTGCCACATCCTTAGCCGCCACCAGAGGTTCCACCTGTCAGATTCAAAGGAATCACACGGGATGAGCAAGCACAGCTTGAGAAACAAAACCGCACTTTAGGGCAAAATGGGTGAGTGGGAGGGAAGCTTGTATGCAGCACTAATTACTTACCCAAGCCTTCAGGTTGACCAGGTTTGAATCCAAGTTCCAAACAGCTTTGCGTGCCGTGAGAATGGTCAGCATCACAACTCCAAAGCTGGGAATGTGGAGCAAGAAGGAAGACGAGAATGACGACGAAAGGAGAGAGGAATGAGGGGCGAAAAAATAGATTCCGTAATGGACCATGGATAAAAAGAACTCGGCATTGACATTGAGTGTGCGTACAGTAGACTATTTACCTCTATGAAACTCGCAAGCCATGATCATAACGTAGCATTCACACACCTGTGCACATCAGCCATGGGAGTGGCTTTTTGTGACTTGTAGTAGGCGGGATCCACATAGCCCGGTGTTCCCATCACTCGAGTGGCCGCCACAGATGTGCCCTCCCCATGCCTCACCAACCCAAAGTCAGCAATTTTCGCCTGTGGCCCGGTATTGAGGAAGGAAGTAAGGGTGTATGAAGGAAGTAAGTATCATGCTGAGACGCAATAATTCCATGCTGCATAGGCTTGAATTCATTCACAAAGCCACTCGCACATTCTCACCTTCATTTTCTCATCAAGGAGAATGTTAGCGGGTTTGATGTCGCGATGCACAATGCCAAACTCATGAAGATACTCCAAGCCACGGGCCATGCCTATGAGAATCTCCAGCCGCTGCCGGACAGACAAATGCTGTTTTGCGGCTGAGGTGGCATGGGTTGGGGGGTAGAGGCAACGTAGGAAAGCATGGGAGGTAAATCACACGAGAATCTCCAGCCGCTGCCAGATTGAAAGATGCTGCTTTGTGGCTGAGGATTCAGTAGGGGAAGGGGGGGAGACCAAGTAAATACCGATGGGAGGTGAATCACACAAGGAAAAGGAGCTAACTGATAAAGATGAGCATGAATGAGAGAGCTGCTCACATGGGCCGATCCACTGTTCGAGGTCACCATTGGCCATAAATTCGTAGATGACAATTTGCTCCATGCGCTCTGTCACAGGGCTGAAGTCCAGGCAGTACCCCACCAGCCTCACCAGGTTCGGATGGTTCTTTGTCGCCATCTCGTTCACCTGCCACGTTGCACCATCAAGGCATGTAACAACAATGTAAGAACTTGGCAAAAATGGCCTTGAACAGATGTGGCTTTTTGGCTGCAAACGACCACGATAAATTGAGCAGCCGTCCAGACTCTGATTTTCCTCTCTTCTTTCTCCTCACCCTCACTTCTCCCCTGCCTGTTACTACCTTTCACTTGAAGTCACTGGTCAGTAAATTAGCTCGCTTGACGGCCCACTCCACCACAGCAAGGACTTCCCAATATTACACCAGCACAGTCAACAGCTTCATACCCCTCACCACACCACACCACACCACACCACACCACACCACACCACACCACACCACACCACACCACACCATACACATCCATACCTCTCGTTTGAATTCGTTGGTAAGGATCTTGGCTCGCTTCACGGCCCACACGATCTGGGGGTTGTGGGGGCACTCGCCCTTGTACACATCCCCGAAGCTGCCTCCCCCAATGCGCTTGCTCTCCGCCCAATCGCTCGTCGCCTGCGCCACCTCCGCCAGTGAGTACTGCACGCACACCTGCGCCTCCCCGCCGCCCCCAACTCCCAGCGCGGCCATTCCCTTAGCTCCGCCAGCTGACACTGCCCGGGGGAAAAGTAGCCCTGCGCGTTCAGGATTTCCTGGTTCATTTGGCTGCTGTTGCGCTCCTGCAGCAGCAGCAGCGGCGGCGGCGGCAGCAGCAGCAGCGGAAGCGGCACCGGCAGCGGCTGATGCTGTCACTGGTCCTGCAGCCTCCGCCTGGGGCGTCAGGGAATGGCTGGGTGCTACGTGTGCGGCTTGCTTCTTTGTGCGACCCCCGACAACCAAAGAATCCGTCTCAGATTTCCACCAAAAACGCCACCCGTTCCGCTTACTCTTATTAGTAGCCTCAGGAACTGGTTCTTTGAGATTCTCGGTTTTCACAGCCTCATTGGACACCTTTGAGCTCTGCTCCTTGGCCTTCCGGTATGCCTTAATCCGCGAATGGATGAACACGGCCAGGATGAACAGTCCGATGAATATGAACACCGAGCCGATTCCGAAGCCCACAGCATACCACGAGCTGTCAGTCACTTTGAGTGACCGCCTCGAGATGATGTTGTTGGTTTCTGCGGCGCACCGGGATTGGAGCAGGGTGACGATCTCATTGGAAAGAGTAAAGGAACATTAAGTGAGAACAATCGGGATTTGGCTAGGAGGTTTGGTTCCATGCACGAGATGACCATCTGTAACATTCCCGTTAATGTTTTTTAAGCATGCGGAAGACCTCCGAAGTTTAGAAACCGAGTGGACCACTATAAGTTACAATATAAAGGGAAACGAGTGTTCTTAAGACGAACCTGGGACTCGGAAAGAATTGCCACTATTACGAGAGTCGCCCGCGAGACTGGATGGCTCCTGGCTCCACATCACGGTGTCTCGAAGCCCTTGCGTTATTTCTGGCGCGAACCGCCGTCCTTGGGAATGCCGAACCAGTAGCATAAAAACGAGGAGATGAGGAATGGTGGTTCGCATTATGGTGTCCAGCTTTAAGGCCATCATTGTCAATCGACCGCCGCTCGCGATGGGCTTTCTGACTCGTCTGATGCTCTACGCGGAAAACTGTGAACTTGTAGCATGTATGAGTAAACCGCAGCTGGATGCTTTGGAAATGGCGAAGACCTCGTCATTTTACATGGGGATTTACAAGGGCACCAATTCCTCAAGCTCGACTGGGAGACTTGCGCGGTGGAATGGCTAGCTGCGGTCGCGCAGGGGAACGCGATGCGACGTCACACATGTGATGAGTCTTGCGAGATGGATTCTTCTTGCGGTGCTGGCAATTGACAATCGAGCAGCGGTGACAAGCAGGCAATGGAATGGAGTGGCGGTGACAACGGGATAAGGACCCGTTGACCACCACGAAATGACCGATAAGGATTTCCAACGACCGTATGTGGCAACGCCAACGTGTCAGATTTTCCAAAAGTGTATGCGCTAGGAGAAATGGATGGGATCGCTATAAGAGATATGTGAGGAAACCATACGTTAAGTAATCCTCAATAGTCTTCTGTCACACGATATACCATACTACCGGTATTTCTGCTCCTTGGTGACAGCAGTTAATGTGTTTAACGCTACCACCTGACCAGGGTGAGAAAGTAGGCACGCAAAGAGATTTCGCAAAAAAATACATCTCTTGCCAAAACTGCATACACATATCGATCATTCCCATTTCACAAATTGAATAATCACCACTCCATCCACCTTCTCCTCCCAAGGATTACCCCTTCCTCTACCCATGCTACACAAAGCCCTTCCGCAAACCAGTCCAGACAATAACTTCGTCCTCCTCAGCAGCATCCTCCTCAGCATCCACCTCAGCATCCACCTCAGCATCCTCCTCCGTATCCACCTCAGCATCCACCTCAGCATCCACCTCAGCATCCACCCCAGCATCCTCCTGGGCATGTACCTTGCTCCCCTCATCACTTGTACCTGCTGCTTCCCCGCCACCTGCGCCCATCACACAGCCAGCAGACAGCACATCATCTTCATGCCCCACACTCTCCTCGCGATGCTCCACATCTTCTCCTCCATGCCCCACCCTCTCCTTTCCATGCCCCACACCCTCCCCTCCATGCCCCATACCCTCTCCTCCATGCCCCAACCCATCCTCATCACTGCTGCCTACCGCCCACCCTGTCTGCTTCCCTACTTCTATTTCTCCCACTCCCACAACTCCCTCCACTCCCACAACTCCCTCCACTCCCACAACTCCCTCCACTCCCACACCTCCCTCCACCTGCTCAACTCCTTCCACTTCTCCTTTCACCTCAAACCCCCCTCCCCAAATCGCTCCTCCTTCCCCTCCTCCCATCGCCCCTCCTCCCTTGCAATCACCCATCGTCTCCCTCTTCCCTTCACTCTCCAAGTCCAAAATCTGCGAGCAGTGAGGTGCATTTTGAGGCGCCTTAAAATGCATCTCCAAGTCCAGAATCTTCTCCCCAACAACACCTCCCTCATCTTTCACCATCCCTATCCCTATCCCTAACCCTAACCCCTCCGCCACATCTCCTCCCCCACAACCAGCCGTCTCCTGTACACAACCTGTCGTGCCTGCCTCGCTCCATTTCCCCTCTTCCCCCGTACAGCTCTCTGCTACCCCTGCTGCCACACAGCCTCCACTCCCATGCACAACTTGGTGGTAATTTCCCTTCTCTTCTACTACTTGCCGTGTTCCCATCTCCCAATTCTCCTTACCACCCTCCTCCCCACTCTCCTCCCCATTCTTCTTATCACTTTCCCCACCCATCTCCTTTGCCCTTGCCATCCCACTCTTTTCCCCACTAACCCCCCCATTTTCCTTACCACTCTCTCCCCCAATCTCCTCCCCAATCTCATTACCGCTTTCCCTCCCACTCTCCTCCCCAATTTCATTACCGCTCTCCCTCCCACTCTCCTCCCCAATTTCATTACCAACCTCCTCTCCACTTTCACTACTCTCCTCCATACCATTCACTCCCACGTTCTCTTTACCTCTACACTCCCCACTCTCCTTCCCACTCTCCTCCCCATAATCCTTACCACCCTCCACTCCACATTCACTACCCTGCTCCTTACCATTCATTCCCCCACTCTCTTTACCACTCCACTCCAAACTCTCCTTCCCACACCCCTCCCCAATCTCCTTACCACTAGCTACCCCATTCTCCTCTTCACTATATTTTGCAACCTCCTCCTCACTGTCCGTACAGCTCTGCTTAGCACTCTCCTTACCACTCACTCCCCCACTCTTCTTCCCATTCTCCTGCCCGATCTCCTTACCAGTCTTCCCCCCACTGTCCTCTCCACAATTCTGACCAACCTCCTCCCCAATTTCCTTACCATTCTCCTTACTACTCCCCTTAACAATCTCCAATTCCCTTCCAACAACCTCCTGAACACCCTCCCTACCAGTCACTACCCCACTCTCCATACAACTCCACGTCCCTCTCTCCTTTCCACTGTCACCATTTTCCTTTACACCCTCCTTACCATTCAATTCTCTAATCACCTTACCAAATCCCTTCCCATTCTCCTTCCCATTCCCCTCCCAAATTTCCTTACCACTCTCCCCACAACTCTGCTGACCACTATTCTTACCAACCTCCATCCCACTTCCCTCACCACTCTCCATTCCACTTTCACCACTCTCCGTAACACTCCCCTCACCATTCACTTCCCCACTCTCCTTACCACTCTCCTTACCACTCTCCTTACCACTCTCCTTACCACTCTCCTTACCACTCTCCTCGCCATTCTCCTCCCTGTTCCCACTCACACCTGCCTCTTCACTCCCCCACACCTTCTCCCAATCCCCTAAAAGCCTCTCCCACGTTCTACTCTCACTTCCACCCTTCCCCACACTCACCTCTCCCTGCTTCCTCCCAATCCCCCCTCCTCCCCTGCTTCCACTCCCCCTCTCCCTCTCCCATCCAACCTCGCCTCCCTCCATTCCTCCACACCCCTCTACACCGTGCCCCCTCCCTCCAGACCCCCGAGCCCTCCACATCCAAACAGGCAAAAAGGAGAAGCCACTGAACACACCAGAACGAACAATCGTGTTACCAGGTAACCCTGTATCAGCCAACCCACCAGATGCACCCGCACGTGCATGGCTTGCCAAACCAAGCCCCCCCTCCATCCGAACAACCCGCACTGCTCCTACCACTGTTACTGTCTCTGCCCCTGCCTTCAATGCAACATCTCGCCCTGCATCGGTCTCAACCCCTCCCTTGCAAGCCATCCCTGCGTCTGCCTCTGCCTCTGCCTCTGCAGTTGCCTCTGTCTTCGCCCCTGCCTGCTGCGCCCCATCCCACTCGTCTCCAGTCAAAAGGTCAACAAAGCTCGCACCGCTGTTGCCCACACCGCTGTTGCCCACACCCGGCAACAAGCCGCACAGACTGCCCACCGCAGGGACACTATCCATCTCATATCCACACATGGCCGCATCTGTGCTATCAGCCGCACCAGCACCAATTGAACCATCACCAAACTCTTCAAACCCTGCAAATGGTTCCCAGGCAGGCAATACTGCTGCCCTCTCAGCAGTTGCCGAATTCCAGTCCCCGTGTCCCTCACCCTCTCCCACCAAGGAAGCTGCTCCTTCCACATCCCCTAACATACTCCTCCTCCTTTCCTCCTCCACTTCTTCTTTTCGCACATCACCCTCTTTCTCCCCCTCCACCACCACCACCACCACCTCCCCCTCCCCTTCCCCTCTCCCGCTCCCTTCTTCCCTCTTCTCCGCATCACCGCCCGTCTTTCCCCTTGGGATCCACACCCCAGTCCCCTTCCCCGCCCCCTTCCCCTTGCCTTTCCCCTTCCCCGCCCTTCCACGCACATCACCATCAGAAGGAGCAGCAGCAGTCATAACAGATACCGGCACCAGCAAGGGCGCCTTCCAAACGCCTCCTGTGTTCCCTAAAATACCACTACCTGCATTCCCTGTATTCCTCTCATCACCACCATCACCACCATCACCTTCCCTACCCCTGTCCACTCCATACCCTGCCTCTCCTGCAAGCCCCGTGTTTCCTGCATACCCTGCATGCCCGCCTGCACCCTCTCCACCGCCTCCAACCCCTGCAGACCCCTCCTTCAGCACCAGAAACCGCTTCACACCACTCCCTTCGATCCCAATCACCCGGGCATCCATCTTTGCAACCACTTGCGCGATCTTGCTCGCGCCAAACTCAGTCAAGCACAATCGCAGCCCAAACACACGGCGGAACTCAGAGGGAACGCGCGTAAGGTTCATACGCCCACCGTTTAAAAGCAGCAGGTGGCGCAGGCGGCGGGATAGATTCGAAACGTCCCCAGCTTTTGCCGGGGCGAAAATGTCCGGGAGGTGTGGAGGAAGGGGAGGAGGAGGAGGGGGTCCAGGGAAGTGGTGGTTGTGTGGCGGGAGTGGGAATGGGAACGGGGGTGCGTGGATGTGGGGTGGGTGGTGGGAGTGAGGGAGGTGAAGGGGAGTGTGCGACGAGTATGGGTCAATGTTTTGGCTTGAGAATGGTGGCAGGGGGTGAGGAGCAGAGGGAAGGGGGAAACTCGGTTCGTAGGGGGTGTGAAACGAGTCTGGGGCTGTAATACCAGGAATGGCACTTCTATCATGTGCAAAGTTACGTGCATCAGCTTCAGCAGCAGCATGAAATAACCCTGCTTCCCTTGAGTTAGGAAAGGAGGGTGGAGGAGGTAGAGGGCAGGGAACAGGGACAGGCACTATAGCGATGCACTCTTGGCTTGCCGCGTCTGCAGCACCAGCAGCAGCATCGAGAGCAGAATCAGCAGCAGCAGAATCATCAGAAGCCAAACCACCAGCAGCTGTTACTGTGGCGCTAACGACAGCATCTTCTGTACAGGCAGCAGCATCGGCAGCAGCAGCCGCAACACCACCACCATCACCATGTGCCACACCATGTGCAGCAGCAGCAACACCAGTGCTGACACCTATACTCCCATTCCCACTGTCACAATGAGCAGAGGTTGTATGTACAAGGAGTGCGCTTCCTGCCATGTCAGATGCCACACTTTCCAACGACTTAGCCACCACAGCAGTCGCAACAACCATATCAGACGAGACAGCATTGCTGCACACGCCAGTTAATATGTCAGTAGATGTGTGCGTGGACAACCGGGTACTCAACACGTCGTTCAACATCTGTTCGTAAACTGTAGCCACCTCTCCAAGCGCAGGTGCCCCTTGTCCGTTGCTCTTATCGCTACTTTCCACCCTCACCCCCTCCTTGTCTCCTGCCGTATTCGCTCCCTCTCCCCCATTTACTCCGGCGACAATGCCTGCTTCTGCACCAGAAGGTTCAGAGAAGGGGCTTCTGTGTAAAGGCGGTGGGGGACACGTGGCTGAGTGGCTATGAATTGAGTTGGTTGTTGGGTGGTACTGTGGAGTGGGAAGAGGTTTAAGAGGTGGTAGAGGATATGGCTGAGAGGCGGGGGAGAAGGAGGAGGAGGAGGAGGAGGAGGAGGAGGAGGAGGAGGAGGAGGAGGAGGAGGAGGAGGAGGAGGAGGAGGAGGAGGAGGAGGAGGAGGAGGAGGAGGAGGAGGGGGGCAGAGCTGCAGACGTCAATAAAGCAGCTCCCGTATCATAATGAGGAAGCTGGTGAGGAGGGGCAGCAGAGGACTCTGGGACGGATGGCAAAGGTGACTGGGGCAAGTGGGAGCGACATTGAATCAGCCCATTCGTCTTCCCGATCCATTGCCCCCCGGCTGCACCAGCACCAGCACCGGCACCGGCACCGGCACCGGCACCAGGACCCCACATCATTCCACCTCCAAACACCCTTCCTGCAGCAGCAGCACCACCGTCGCCACCACCACTGCCGCCGCTGCTGCTATAACCAATCCGCAATCCCCCCATCATCTCCTCCTCCTCAGCAGCAACACCCACACCACCAGCACCAGCACAAGCAGCGGCAGCAGCAGCGGCACTGGCAGACACAGCAACAGCAGCAGCAGCAGCAGCCGCAGAAGCACCACCAGACGCGCGGCGCCTCCCCTGGAACCCCACAAACGGCACGAGCCCCTGCCCACGCACCAGCGCAAGCCAATCCCACACAAACCCGGCCCCTGACAGCAGCGACGCAGACACCCCCGCATGCGCATACACCGGCGCCAACAACAGCACCCCGTATCCCCTCTGCCGCAGCTTGTGTAGCGCAGGGGCGAAATCCACGTCTCCAGAGACGAGCAGGATGGAGGAGGGCGGCGGGTGGTCGAGGGCAAAGAGGAAGAGGTCTGCGAGAATGGCCTTGTCGGAGGCGTCTTTTCGGCCGCTGGGCACGTCCGCTAGGGTTACGCCTGTGCGCTGGAGGGCTTCGCGGATGCGGCTAGGGATCAGGGCGAAGTCTCCGTATGCTGTGAAGGCTGGTGGGGGGTAGGGGAGGGGAGGGGAGGAGGAAAAGAGCGGGGAGGGGAGGATAGGGAAGGGGAGGGGAGAAATAGGCTGACGAGGAGGAGGGGAGGGAAGGGGTTCAGAATCAAGTGTGGGAAATGACGAAGGATGAGAACGGAGGAAGAGGAAGGGGGTTGTCTAGCGGCAGGGTGCGACAGCTTGCTAGCCATAAAGCCATGGAGAGGAGAAACTGAGGAGAGAGTGAGGAAGGGGGGGAGGGCGGCGAAGGGATGGGAAGGAACGGAAGGGGTGGAGAGGAGAGAACGATGGTGCGCGGAGAAAAACAGGCATAGGAACGCTGTGAGTCCAATGTAATGAAGGTGCAAGAGCGATTAGGGCGATGAAGGGCAATAGAACTGACTGGTGATGCGGGCGGTAGCGGTGGCAGGATGCGAGGCGAGGCCGGCACGCACTCGGCATGCAACGTCCACTGGGCGTACATCAGACGGTACGGAGCAATTCTCAATGTCCCAGAACACGCCCAACGCGTGGCTGCTGCTGCCGCTGATGGTGCTGCCAGTGCTGGTGCTGGTGCTCCCGATGCTGTTAAAGCTGCTGGTGCTCGTGCTGGTGACGCTGCACGGTGGATTGAGATATGCTGTGTGACTGCACGTGGTTACATGGTTACTGGGAAGCTGGAAACACTGCTGCTGCTGCTGCTGCTGCCGGTGCTGCTGGAGGTGATGCTGCTGCTGGTAGTGCTGCTGGTAATGCTGCTGCTGCTGGTGGAATGGAAGAGACACAGGCAACGATGCTGGCGGTTGATGCTGCAGGTGTTGGAAGAGGTAGGGAGAAGGGAGGTGAGGAAAGGAGGTGGTATTTACATGGTGAAAATGAGGAGGCGGAAGCTGCTCGGAATAATTCGCGTTATTACAGTTGTACACCATACGCTGTTGCTGCTGCTGTTGCAGTTGCTGCGGCTGCTGCTGTGGCTGCTGCTGCACAACACTAGACGGTTGAATCTGATAATGAGAAGTCTTGTACAACTGTCCCTGGTCCGGCAGCTGCTGCTGCTGCTGCTGCTCCTCCTGCTGCTGCTGCTGCTGCTGCTGCTGCTGCTCCTCCTCCTCCTCCTGCTGCTGCTGCTGCTGCTGCTGCTGCTGCTGCTGCTGCTCCTCCTGCTGCTGCTGCTGCTGCTGCTGCTGCTGCTGCTGCTGCTGCTGCTGCTGCTGCTGCTGCTGCTGCTGCTGCTGCTGCTGCTGCTGCTGCTGCTGCTGCTGCTGCTGCTGCTGCTGCTGCTGCTGCTGCTGCTGCTGCTGCTGCTGCTGCTGCCACTCCTCCTCTTCCTCGTGCTGCTGCTGCTGTACGTGCTGCTGGCTCTGCTGACTCTGAACCTGATGGTCCACCTGGGCACTTGAAAAATCTTCTACTTGAGTTTGTACCTGAGATAGTAGTCCTAAACAAGAATCATTCTCCTGCTCCTGTAACACCTGCCCCTCCGGTATTGAAGATAACTCCTGTGCTTGCTCAGCAGGCTCGGATCCAATTTTAGTAGGCTTGACATAAACCTTAGTAAGTTCGGACCTCAAATCATCTGGCTCGGATCGAGGATCGGATTGAGGCTCGGACCTCAGCTCCGCTGGCTCGGGATGAAGGATGGCATGTTCGGCCAATATATCCACAGGCTCACACCAGAGCGCAGAAGGCTCGAAAAGCTGCTCTGCACGTCCGGATCGACACTCTGCAGATTTAGTTTCCACATGCTCGAATCGAAGCTCTGCAAGCCCGGACTCAGACTTTAGCCCGCTCGCCTCGGCCTTAATGTGCGCCTTGTCTTGCGACCCTTGCGACCCTTGCGACTCTTGCGATCCTTTCAGTCGTCGCATCTGCTGCAGCCTCCAGCTCTCCATCTCCGCTCTTGCCAATCCTCGAATCCACTCAAAAGCATCCTCCGCAGCCGCTCCACCTTCTCCTGCTGTAACAGAGCATCGCTTCTCTTGAACCTTGTCCATCCTATCGCTCTTCCATTCCCCATGCTCAAAGTCATTGGTGGAAGTCGCGCCCTGGACCTGTAAGATTCCCAAAGCTGTGGTTTCGTCGGCGTGTGCTTCTGCAGGCGCTGCTGTGACGGATCGCGGTAGCGAAGAAACCTCTGTGATAACCATGCTGTCGGGGGAACATCCCCCCATTTCGCAAAGGCGCGGGTCGTGGGCGAAAGGGGTTGGTGGAGGGGACGACATGGCAGGACGTATGGAATTCCAGCTGCACGAAAAGCGGCGCCTTTCGTTCGCCAACACTTGACGATATAGCAGACTGCTGCTGAGACGGGGTATCTTTCTTTCCTGACCCCTATTTCCAATGGTAGCGCTTGCAGGAATTTGACCAGCAGCGCAGCGGAAGCTGATTGCCGCGAAAATGGACCAATCGTCACGTGAAACAACGAGAAGCAGGTGAGAAGAACAGGCGAAGGAACAGGAGCCGCGAAATTATGGCGACAACGCAATCGGCGATCGTGGCTTCCTGGACACAACCTTCGATCATGAAATCGAGAGATTTCTGAAAGCGAGGAGTGGGGAGACCAGAGATAGTGCGCACAAAAAGAACGTCAGGAGCGGAGGGAAGTGCAATGGTGATGGCTTCAGGCGCACGAAACCTTCCAACACAATTTTGCACTGCATGAAATTACCAGGCTTGGTTGGCTCCTCATTCACTTGTATTCTATGCTACAAACGCGTACAATGATCAGGTTTGACAACGTGGCAGAGCCTGTCTTCACCACGCGTGAAGGGACCTCGTGGCAATTGACGGCTTGCCCACAAAAAAATGTCAACCTTTCTAAACTGTAGATATCAAATGCTACGTGGCAGCAATAATACTATTTCGTGGGGTCTTGTTCTCAGTACTACGCCCGCTTTAGAAGGAGCTCGACCTTGTGTCAAGGTTTTTATGAGGTTTCCTAATCATCACATTGAGATTCGTCGTGCACAATCCTTGGCGTTGTTCTGTAGGCGTTAAATTTCTAAAAACTGGGTTCGCGGAATTTTTGTTGATAAGAGGTCTTCTGCCTATCAAGGTTTGGTGATAAGGGAGGTCCTTCCAAACCTGTTCGCGCCAAATTTAACGCTTCCGCCTGCAGCACACCACTTTTGGGGCACACAAAATTAACCGTCTGCAGGTTCGAAGTTGTTGCTTCGCCGGGCAAATGGTCGCACAATTGATGCGGTGCTGATTCTGGCCCAGTTCGGTAGCCATCCAGTCACACTGGGCCCACTCGAACTGGGGAAGCCTACGACACGTTTTGTAGCCTCGGGCGTCCAGTCACACTGGAGGGAAGTCTCCTCCAAAAATGCAAGAAGTTACTGTGTGCTTATGAAGAAATTTCAAGCAGCAAATTTTACTGCTGGACGAGGCTGCCCGACTTGCAAAAAAAAATTATGCCCGCCAGATTTTAACCATTCGATATGGAAAATAAATTTCAGTAACGGGCACGATCTTTCATTGACTAAACGATCGGGCTGAAAAGATGTATCTGTTCCGAAAAGACATAAATGTACCGTATACCCTACAGAATGCCACTCTGAGCAGGCCTGCCTGAGTGGAACTGGAAAGCAGAAATGGGTTTGACTTTCACTGACGATCGATTTTGCCTGAGTTCGTAATTTCGTGGTAGTTTTCTTGCCCGCACTCCGACTGGGCCCTTTCACGTGTTCGGGAGCCAAGTCATATTGAGCAGGTCCGGTGTTCTAATAACGATATGGTGGGCTTTAACATGGTTCGTGTCGAAGGAAATAGCCTCGCCCTCGCTTGAGCGTAGCTGATCTCGCCGCAAACGGGAAGTTCGCGACGGAGCGGTCGACGAAATGGGCTTCTGCAGTTCGGCGGAAGTTGCAGTCGAGCAGGTTCTGCTCGACGGAATCTGGTCGACGAGCTCTGCGCGATGAGCTCTGGTCGACGATCTCTGCGCGGTGAGCTTCCGTCGAAGAGCGCTGGTCGAAGAGTTCTGGTCGAGAAGCTATGCGCGGCGAACGCTGTTCGACCGTGCAGAGTCGAGCTGATCGACCGAAAGCTGCAGAGTTGCGCGAAACTCTGCGAAGGCGTGCGAACATTCGCCCAGGAGATTTTGGCGAAGTTCTACCTGCGGAACGGCATCACGTGGTCGACGGCGAAACCGACGACACGTTTTCTACCTGGCACCTGCGCAATGTGCCTGACGGTGAAACCACCAACCTGCACCTACTTGGTAGGTGCGCACATCTGCGCAGATAGACAACCTGCGACCGTAGAAAGTTACCTGCGATTGCAGATAGTCACCTGCGACTGCAGTGCTGGCAGATCGCGCGCAGTGCAACGCTGGCAGGTCACTCTGCTGCAGCGTTGGCGAGCCGCTCTTCTGCTGCGCTGGCAGAGTTCGCCCTTGCTAGGAGTTCCATGCCATTCTAGTCCTTTTGTTTCTGTATGCCTCATTGTTGCTCTCTATTCTTTTCTTTTCCTATCAACTTTGTTAATGCACGTTGTTCTTTCCTTAGTGGAATTCTTGCCAAACTTCTCAGTGAACATAGCAAGCAGTAAGAACGTTAGCATAGCGCTACGATCACTCGCACAACCCCGTGCCCTCCTCCGTAGTCCACTCCCGTTGTGTAGCGACTCTCCGCATGGTGCGGTGAGCGTGGACGGCCCCGTGATAGAACCTTCAGATAGCCGACTGTGCGTTCATTACCTAAGTTGTAGTAGGCCGGCAACTATCTAGCCCGCCATGGTCGACCAAGAGGAGGTCGCTGCAGGCGTAGAGGATACCCTGCAGGCGCGGTTAGAAGACGTTCGGGCACGCCACGCAGCTGGCGAGTACGGCGGAGCAACCTTGGAGGTTATGCTCTTTGGAACCCGCGTGCAGTGGGCGCGCGAGCACCCAACGATCCGTACTGAGGCGGATGGACTGCCCGCCACTCCCCGACCGGCACGCAACGACGGTGGCGTCGACGATCAGGTCGACGGTGGCAACCAAGTCGGCAGCGACGGAGGCACGAGGATGACACGTGGAGTGATTTGGGCAGCCGATGGCGGCATCGGCGGAGTGCAGGCGCGCGCTCAGCGTTCGGCAGCGGCAGGAAGCTCGAACGGCAACAGTGACGGTCGACGACGTTCTCCTGAGCGGAGTGGAGTCGGGCCGACTTCGGCGATCCATGCGTCAACTGGTCGAGACGGAGGAATCGCGCCGTCGTATGGCTACTTCAAATTCTCGCCGGACAAAATCGTTGTGCCGAAGCCGCTCGAAGGTCGGCACGACCTGATCACGTGGACGGAGTCTATCGAACCGCAGCTGGAGATCGCCGGATTGAAGAGGTTCGTCGACGGAGACGTGTTGGCGCCGGACGAGGAGGAGGTCGAGCTCTGGTCGGAATTTCGCGCAGCTCAACTTCTGACGTTTATGGTCATTTCGAGGTGCTGCTCGCCGCTGGTGCAAGTCGCATTGAAGTCGTGCAGATTTCGGGTGGATGCTGGCTACCAAGCGTGGCAGTACATCATGCGCACCTACAAATCGACCGACGACCTATACATCGGCCAGCTGGAGCAGAAGTTGACGAACATCAAGATGGGCGACCAGGAGTCTGCAACCGAGTACTGCAACCGTGCTCGGCGGATTTTGGCCGAGCTGCGGATGGCTGGCGTCAGCTACTCTACAGCTTCCTACATTACGCACGTCCTCAAGGGTCTGCCGATGGGCTACAATTTGTTGCGCCGAATGTTGGCGATGCCTGGCGCGCGTGAAACGCTCAACGAGGACACGCTGTCGAGCCAGATCATCAACGACGAGTTCATGCAGGAGTCCGAGAGGTCCGCAGAACTGCTTCCGCAGGCCAACTACGTCTCCCCGGCGAAGCAGGGACGCCAGCAGGGGCAACGTGGAAAGTCTACCGGAGGCGGTGGCGGGAAGTCGTCGAACGCGAAATCGACGGAGGGCGTCGACCGCGGAAAATCGGCGAAAGGAGGAGATCGCGGCGGCGGTGGATCGCGTCGAGAAGGGCGCCGATGCTACATCTGCGATGCTCCCGACCACCTCTCGTACGACTGCCCCGACAGAGACGAGTCTGATGACGACCGGGACGCCAACCGCAAGAAGGGCGAAGGTGGCCGTCGTCGTCGGGACAACCAGCCGCGCAAGGAGAAGCAGCCGTCGAAGACGTCTTCGACGAAGGATGCTGACTCCTCTGGCGGCAAGGAGGCTCGTGGCGAGGAGGCTTCGTGCTCGATGGTCGGCGCGGTGGAACCGACGATCTCGCTGGCGCTGGAGGCTGGCGAGGACTTCAAGGCGGTCGCTGCTGCTGTGGAGGCGAATCCGACGATCGTGCTCCTCGACAGCGGCTGTTCCCACCATCTGATGGGGACGAAGGAGGCGTTCGTCGAAATGAAGCCTCGCGGCGATGTCAAGCATGTGCGTGGCTTCAATGGGGCGCTGCAGAACGTCGAAGGCCGTGGCACCGTCGCTCTGCAAGGGGAGACGGGGAAGCAGATCCTCGTCCCCGATGTACTCTACGTCCCGGGTGTGCACGCGAACCTGCTGTCTGCTGGCCAGCTCAAGGAGAACGGCGTGAAGTTCCAGGACGATGGTGCAGAGACGCTGCTGGTGTCTTCTGCCGGCGATGTCCTTGGTCGCGCACGCTACTCTGGCAGAGTGCTCTACACGGACCTGCGCCCCTGCTCGTCAAAATCGACGGCGACTTTGACGGATGTTGTGGCTCTGCGGACGATCGCGTCGGCGACGAAGTCTACCCCGGGCCAGCTGCATGCTCGCCTTGCGCACGTCGGCATCGACACGATCAAGAGCTCGGCGAAGCATGAGGTCGCCACCGGTCTGGACATCAAGAAGTCGACCGCTGACGATCTGCCGTGTGCCTCCTGCGTCGGTGGCAAGCTCGCGCGGCACACCTTTCCCGACAAAGGCGCAGATGCAGAGAACGCGCTCGATGTGGTGCACATCGATCTCTGCGGGCCGTTTCGCGTGGCCGCCACCGATGGCAGCCTCTACTTTCTTTTGCTGAAAGATAGGAAGACGCGCTACGTGTGGGTGAGGCCAATCGCGAAGAAGAGCGACGTGCTGGTCGTCTTCGCCAAATGGCTGAAGGAGGTGGAGCGGCAGACGTCGAAGACGGTGAAGAAGTTGCGCTCG